ATCAATCACAATTTCTCCAATGTAGCAAAAAAAAACCCCAAACTTATGTTCGTGGAATCTTTTAAAGATCTTTCTAGCTCGGGTTGTATGTCAGGAAGGGTCTTTCAAAAAAAATCAGTATGTCAACCAAATACACTGCAACATAGTGGCCCAAAATATCAAAAACTTTTAATTCATCTGAATCATGAATAATAAAACTCTACTGAAAAAGGCCATAGTAATAGACTCTTGCAAGACTGATTATATTGTTCCATCCTTTCCTTTTATACCCCTGGGAATCAGGGAGCAGCCAGTGTGACTCTTTTCCTAATACTCTCTCTTTTCTCAAAGCTCAGGGCAAACTTCTGCACATTTTCTTTTTGCAATAGTTTCTGAAACTTTTCCCCAAGATCATCTCCATGGCTCCCTACATTTTACATGACTTTAGTAACCACGTTGTTTGAGTGTCCGTAGGTCTTTAAAAGTCTAGCACGGAAGATGGAACTTACAACAATAAACTATTTCAACCCAGACTAGATTGCTAATGGATACGTGTCATTTGGCAAGTGTCAATATTGCAGTGTCAGCATCCAGCCACACTTCAGCTTTGGCACCCAGAATACCACACACCCCCAAGCTTTTTTAACCCAATAACAGTATGGTATTTGAAACAAGCCAACACCTTGAGCGCTATTTGCTGACATATGCTTCAAGAACCCAGGAGGAAAGGAAAATATGCACCAACTCCAGACCATAACAGTATTTCTGCTACTGTTGGCAGTTGTTGAAATATAGGTATTAATTATGCCAGTGTCAACAAGACCCTAAAGGATCATGAATATTAGATGATACATTTCATTGAAACTAATGGAATTAGATCACAGCCACTTTTCATTGCATTGCAGTTTAGCAGTAAAGCCCATCTTCTGTTGACAGCATTTCAAGCCAATTCTTATAGCCTTGGGGGACAATGCCCCAGGCATTTCTCCTATGCAAGCCCCACCAATGGAAATAGGAATTTCCACAGCATATGGCCCAAACACACCACTGTAAAGTACTTCAACAACAAAAAAAGCTTCTGTACTTCAAAATGTCCATAGGTACCTATTGCAAAATCAACTGAGGAAGGAAAGATACCCACTCAGATTCAAAATAAGTTACGTACCAAGCCAATTTCATCAGTAATATAAACCAGTTTCAAGTCTTTGGTTATGACATTGTCTTTTTTGAGTGCCAGTTTGTTTCTATGCAAACTTAATTTCAGAACTAATATACTTCAGACAGCCAATAGTTGTTTTCAATCTTGTTACACAATTAGATGATATTGCTAATTTACATATTTTTCATATGTTATATTGTAAGGCAATTTCTAATATGTAACAATGAATATATTACATAAGTACAATTGCATTTCTGCATGCCATCTTTTTGTCTTAGAAGGACTCTTGGAACTGGGCTGTAAGTCGCCCAAAGTTGCTTCAAAATGAAATGGGCGGCAAGTAAATTTAATTAATAAATAAATAAAGCTGCAATAGAACCTGGGTTTGGTAATTTTTCTATAGACCAAACTTTTTCATTTTTTCAAAGAAAGGTATCCTAAAATACCTATTTTTAAGTATAAGCTTTTTTGTCCCTGCAAATTCTTAACATTCTCCCCTTCAAATCATCAAATATTTAGAAGGGATATATAGTTCCACAAAAAGAGGAATGGAGATCTGACCCTATTTAATATTTCTTCCATTTACTTACATTTTATTTCCCTCATTCAAATTACAACATTTTTTAAGAGCACTTGAACAACTGGGGAGTTTTCTTTTGATCTTTCACAGAGTTGCAGAGAAAATTCTGAGAGGTCACAGAATTCAGATGTATTGATAAAATTTGCAAATACAGAAATGAGTGGTGGTATACCACTATATGAATAAACACAGGAGAATGTAGAACTCAATTCTTATAAATTTATTGTCTTTTATTCATACCTGTAAATGTTCCTGTGCTGGATAGGATTTTTGAGAACTGAATTACACTCATTTAAATGACTCTAGGTTAGGAAAGGCCAAATTAAGTTGAGGAAGAAATACAGAGAGTGAGAGTGGTCTTCAATTGATTTAGTTCTCCTCAATTGACTGAATACTACAGTACTACTTTTGATAACACAATTACATAACTTCATGCCAGGGCAAAGCAGTTTTTCCTCTGACTGCCTGTCTGTACGAATTTCTATTCAGAAAGAAATGAGGCAAACGTGCATTCTGGTCTCACATTTTCCAGTTTAGCTCCATGAGCTCCATGAGCCAAACTTTAACAATGAACTACATCCCACTAAACTGGCAGTCCTTCTTTATACTAAGGATACATCTTATCTACAATACAAGTAGAATTAAAGCAGAGAATTCAAGCCTTTGCCCCCATAATGTAGACATCACAACTTAATAATCATCATTCCAAGACAAAAACAGACATCATTATTAAAACTATGTTAGGCATAATAATCATTTGAAAATGATATCAACACAGGACAAATCAAGGCCCTTAAATACCCGGTCCTATTTGGAGGCAAACAAATAAGCACTTTCACTAGTCCGAAAGATGGCTAACATGGTTTTATATTTACTAGTAGAAAAGAAAGTGCTATATGTCTCTTGCCATAATCATTTATAATGGTAACGCGACTAGGCTTCTGATTTCTTCAGAGATGGTTTTCAGTTACCATGGAAAAAAGATACTGAATCAGCCCTCAGGTTTTTCAGCCCAATATTTGGCTTAAAATTGGACATGAGAGCACAAATGTGGAGCTGAAACAATACATCTTTCACAATGGTCTCCAGAATAACTGGAGAACAATCCATGCTATTAAACAGTTGGTCTATGGAAAACCATTCAGTTCAGCCAGCTACTTTTCCAATGTCCCTTGCATGCCACATCAGCTTCTCCCAACTTACATTTGATTCCCTGATACCTATACTAGTGTTCTATAATTGTGTTTCCCTGTTTGAGAAACATTGTTCTAGAGCATGATCAATTATGATTTTGCCCAGTGTGGGAAATTGAAATTGTCCTGCACTGTATGTCCTGCCCTTTTTCCATGGCCTGCTGCATGCATTTAATAACTCTCTAACTGCTTAATTGCTTTGGTAGGATGAGGAAAAAGTTCTTTTACAGGCCCGTTTATCTTCAGAAATATCATGGCACGTAGCTATATCTTGTAGTATAACCATTGCTATTCTGGGGCTAATAGCTTGCACTCTTTGTGTGTGTGTGTGTGTGTGTGTGTGTGAGAGAGAGAGAGAGAGAGAGAGAGAGAGAGAGAGAGAGAGAGAGAGAGAGAGAGAGAGAGAGAGAGAGAGAGAGAGAGAGAGAGAGAGAGAGAGAAGGGGGGGGAGAGAAAGAGGTATTTCACCCACACCAATAATAAGTAATTCACTTCAGCATTCTGTTTTTTCCCTTCCTATTGTGCTTTTCTGATATGTAATATGCACTGACAGTTCATCTTCAACTATAAATATTTATTAACTTTCTAAAGCTGAGGACAAAAAAGATACAAGATGAAGTGGGACCCATTTTTTCTGAATAAAAGAGCATTCCCCCAAGGATCATTTATTATGACTGTATGCCAGTGATATCGCTTGCTTTCTCTGGTTATTGAAGCTTGAAAGGAGGACAGATAACTCTACCAAAAATATTAAGCAACTGCTTATGTAAGGTTTTGGAAATTATATTATAGTCCCCATAGAATTCTGGAGATGCAGTTTTCATCTACTGTGTCCACCAAATGCAACATGCTCCAATATAGCTATTAGATGCCATTCAACCTATTATGGTTCCATAGGGACTGGAATGCCTTAGAATTTCTAAGTATTCTGCTACACCAAGCCTGTTTATTTATATGCCATTTAAAAGCTTTGCCAACAGCACAGGAATTATACATCGGTTGTATTCTTTGGCTGTTCTTGAAAAAGCAAACATTTGAGTCTGGTTTTCCGGATATTTTGATCATTAGGAAATTCCAGGATTATTGATAATATTGGAAAATTGGAAAAAACAACTCAGAAGATAATACAGATCTTTATTATTTTTGAGAATTACAGGAATATTTTCAGATAATCACCAGGAATTAATTTTGATTTATAGAATTTTTTATCTACACTTAATAAAGGTAAGTGATATGCCAGTATAACATTATAGATAAAATAACACAAACAGCAGATCATGACAGTGCAAATGCAATCTGATTATCATATTTATCTATTACTAATAGCAATAGTTACTAATAGGATCTTATTTATGTATATGTTATATTTATATACCACATTTCCTCCAGAGTTCAAAGCAGCCTAAATTTTATCCATACAAAATTGTCCTGACATAGAAATATTGAGAGATAGAAAGTACCAAAGTTAACTAGTACGTTTTATGCCTCAATAAAGATTTAAACCAGGGGTAGTCAACCTTGGCTCTTTTATGACTCGTGGACTTCAACTCCCAGAATTCCTGAGCCAGCTAAGCTGGCTCAGGAATTCTGGGAATTGAAGTCCACGAGTCATAAAAGAGCCAAGATTGACTACCCCTGATTTAAACCATTATTCTATTATTCCTTTAAAGGTGCACTTTTATAATTCAGTTCTCTCATCCCAACGTCTAGTTTTATAGTATAATAATAATATTTTTAGGACTTGAATTGTTAAGTTTCCAGCAGTCTTAGACTGTGAATTTTACTGTAGATTACCTAGGTATAAGGCAGATTAGATTAATAATGTTCAAAAATCAAATTCTGAGCACACCGAAGAAATGCATACAAACATGTGTGTCTTTCTTTAAATGAAATCTAAGATTCAGCAAAATTGAATTAAATAAAATTGGGAAAATGAGAAATAAGTATTGATAGATTTGGGTATCTTCCTAATGATGTTACATAATCGCTGATGATATGGTTGAATAATATATTGTAAAAGAAGCCAATTAGACACAAAAATAATAAAATTGACTAGGTAAAGAGACATTTTAAACTGCAAAATACTTACCGAGCCATATAGTTCTCCTTTTTCATTCATTCCCAAATAAAGTCCACTGTCTACCCCTCGAATGCTGACCAGGCCTACTGCTATACTGATAAATTCCAGGATACCTGCAAAATATATAAAGCAAGCGTATTAACCTAGCTTTCATTCTCCTGTTTTAATACTTGTGTTGACTTTTAATTGATTCAGACGTATTGCTAAAATTGTAGCTGTTTTTCTACCAAAAAGAATGTCAACACATCAGCAGTTATTAGAGCTACAGGCAGTTCTAATACATAAGACAAACAGTGTTGAGCTTTTCCTCAAATTATTGCAGAAGAACAAATCATTTAGAAAGAATAAAGACAACGGGTTTTAACGTACACATCTGTTAATTAATAAGGTACCTGTAATCTGATATGTTATCTGCACAACCAACTCATCTTCCTCTTCCCTCCCCCACTTTATCCCAATTTATATTCTTCATCAATCTAGCCACCCTATGCATCTGATAAAGTGAGCTGCAGCTGATGAAAACTTAGGCCTGTTAATAAAATCTGTTAGTCAGAAAGGGGGATACCTGACTCGTCCTTATTTTCTGAAATTATGCAACTCAGGCTTCATATGAAAGTCAAACCAAAAGATGAGACCTTCAAAAAAAATTACTTGTTCAAAGATTATTTTATAAATCCTTCTAGTGAAGTGCCTCAGCAGATCCAATTACTCAGCTAACTGTTCACGTGCCAGAACCTACAGATAGGTTAGAAACAACACTTGAGGGCTACTTTAAAGGGCAAAAGCACCACAATATTTATTCAGAATCTGGTTAAACACAAAGCAGAATTTAACTCAAAATGTCTAAACAAAACATTTTCTGAACATCAATTTTTAATATGACTGAAATGTTGAAAACTTCAAAAAATGGTTATAGCATAGGCTTAAAATGTACACGAGAACAGGTAACGGTTTATTGGAATGAGAATGGAGAGAGAATTTTAATGGAAGAGAATAAAGTTATAATCTGTACTAATGCATAAGGAAAACGACTAGTAGAAAAGCACACACTAGATTTTGTAAAATATTAATTGTACGTCTTTTATAAAAAAGCTATTGCAGGATGCAATGACCCATCTCAGCATTATAAATTCAGCAAGGGAAAAATTGACAGGGGAAATTCTGTAACTTGTCATGTAAAGTTCTATGCAATTATTATTGAGCTTTGTTTTATATATTATTCATCATTGCAAAGGCATCCAATTTACAACCTGGATGACGGTGGCCTACTGGAATCTACACATTTAAAATTACTAGAATAACAGTTTTATCAAATAATAAGTCAAAATAATCAATATTCTACTAGGAGTATTTACCATAGTCAATTAGAAAGAATTAAACTTACATCTTGGGTATTTTCACACAAAAGATTCCATACACCTCTAATCAAAAGTCTAGTCTTTTTTTCCCTCAAATTTTGGTTGAATTTTAAAAAAACGAAATGGCAAGATCTGTGAGTGAAAGTGTTTGCACAATAAAGGCCTTAACTGGAATCAACCCTTGATTGGGGGTTCTGCATTAATAAATCTGATTATCTTCCATACTAATGTAAAAGAACACTGGAAATGTAGTTGCCATGTTGATTTCAGGGGTCTGGTTCACAATGGATAATTCCTGAAAGTAACATAAAATTGATGAACAGTCTGAGATAACTATGAAATCATTGATTTCAGCTTTTATATATTGCAACTATGAATGCTTGCTATAATACTGCAAGCATTCAGTATTGGAGGAGCTTGGAGGTGGTTAGAATGCAGTATTGCAGGCAAATCCTGCCTACAGTCTGGAGGTCAATCCTGACCAGCTCAAGGTTGACTCAGGCCTTCCACCTTCCGAGATCGGTAAAATGAGGACCCAGATTGTTGTGGGCAATATGCTGACTCTATAAAACCACTTAGAAAGGGCTGTAAAGCACTATGAAGTCATATATAAGTCTAAGTGCTATTGCTACTTAAGTGACAAATCTAGGGTATGTTAGACAGATTTGAGTCCCATCATAATCAAAGTACAAAATGATTTGGATTTGGTTTATAATACCATTTGGTTTATAATACCATGTGGGTTTCCCCACATATATGTTGAAATAAACTTGTTTCTTAAATACAAGGATCTCTCCTTCTGAAGTTGTCTCCTTAAAATTCTATACAGTAGTTTTCAATTTATGACCAATCACTTAGCAACCATTCAAAGTTCAACCATTTAACAGTCTCCAAAAATGGGATTTACAACCTGGATTTGAAGTTCTAACAGCTGCTCCTCCTCCCCACAACTGACCCTCATTTACAGATATTTGCAGCACCCCATGGTCATGTGAAAGCAATTTACAACATTTTTATAGAAAATGGCATTTACTTCTGGTTTCCACCAAAAACCACCCATTAGTAAGCAATGGGTTTGCTTTATGACTGCTCCTTAACAATCACCACAAAAATGGTCATAAAATCAGATGCAGTCATGTGGTGACTCGCTTTATGACCATTATGACTTACAACCATAACTGTGGGCTCAATTATTTTAACTGAAAGGCTACATGTACCAAGGCTTTGATAATGCCACTGTTCATGAACATTGGTCTCACAGCTTTTGTCATTAAAGTCATGGCTTCATAAGGCCTAGCATTAGAACATCAATTGGACATTTAGAACAAGCTGACTACATTTTTATCTGGGCAATTTCGCTATCCTTGCTCTTTGCATATTTTTTGCATAATTTTGCATGGATCTTTCTGAAGCAGGATAGGGAAGAAGGGTAGAAAAACCTAGCTCTTTCTGATGCTTCAAAATATAACTCAGTTGTTGACTGGGCTACTTTTGAACTATTCCAGGAAAGCACTATATTCCCTTTGAATATAAAAAACATTTACACAAAACCAGAACAAGTTTGAACAATGATTAAACTTGCTAGTTTAGCCATCTGTCAAATTTTACCTTTTGTCTAACCTATCCCGTGTTAAAAAGAATTATAGAATGTTTTCCCCCAGTTGGTGATATTGGGTGGAATGGAAGCGAAATGAAGCCAAGAGAATCTTCATCCCAACCCCACCATGCCATCTATGGTATATAGACAGCAATGTTTGCTAGCGCTGTGCTCATTACAAGCTAGGGACCACCAATGGGATAGCAACAGTTATACCGTTATAAGTTTCTATTGGCATGATAGCACTATAAGTTTCTAGATAGCACTTTAATTTGGCTATGAAGAATAGCCTTGAATTACTGATCTGTAATACACACAATCTGTGTATCAGAATGTAAAGATATTTATAAATCATCATGCCAGCTGCATATGACCGTTTCCTGTTGGGTATAATGTAACATTCTTTCAAGCTGCATTCAGCTGTTTTCATTTTGCTGCTGAATGTATGCAGTTGACTGCAATTCTCCTTGAGACATTTAAAGGGTAGGTGACCAAACATATTTTTCGTCTGCAAAAAGGTGACCTATATTTACAAAACATGCTAAACTATGATCTGTTTAATCATTTATTAAATATAACCAGAAAAGCTAGGTTCATATGATATGCTATAAGCATAACTGGTAGATCTTTAAAATCAGGAAGTCCACATTCTGATTTATGTTTACCCAGTTCTATCCAGCTGTAGAATTGGAAGATTTAATCCAAGCTTTTCTTCAATCTAGAATTTGCAACTGAGCTCTGAATTAAGGCTTCCTTGAAATAAAACTGTTGCACATCTGTTCTGCTCTCCACAACAGCAGAACTAAATACTTTGTAATGTAATCTATCCCACTTTAACTTACCTTATTGTTAAGCCCCATAGAAGGATGCTTCTCCTAGCAGTCCTTCTAATACTGGAATAAAGCTTTTTGTCACCCTTAATATTTAAATCTCTCCCAAATCCTGCTGTGCTGCCTTACAGCTAGTCCTCAACTTATGACCTCAATTAGCACTGGAACTTTCATTACTAAGCAATGCAATAAAATATTTTGGAATATCCTGATCCCAGCACACAATCCTAGGTACCTTAGAATTCCCTCTAGCACTGGAGGAATTAACATGTTATTTACAAAATAATAAACCTATAACTGCTATTTATATGCAACCCATTAAACCACTATAGCTTTAAAATTACAATTGTATCAACAAAAGTACTGTTTTGTATGTATTAAATACCTATTTCTTTGGTAAGTACTACCTATCAATAGATGTGATGCCTTCACAACTTGATGTCAAAGAATCTGAAAGAATGCCTCTTCTTATATGTTTCTACCTGTACCTTAAAGGTCATCTTCAGACCATCATCTCATCCCCAGCCCACAATAAGGCTGCTTAAAACCATCTTCACCTATCCCAGTTTTGGGATTGTGTTTTTTTTTCTGTTCTACCTACACTATGAATGCAATCTAGAACGCTTAATCAACCAATGTGGTTAGAGATTGGGATTTGCCAGTCTCACTGGCTACTTTAGGCTGCTTTGAGTGTGATTTCTCCTGTCAAATCACTGGACACTGGCCTCCAAGGCCATTTTGGTTTTGGCTGCATAACACAATTGTTTTCAGACTGCCTTTCCAGCATCTTCCAAAGCATTGATCAAATATTACATAGTTTCCTTATTACATGGGTTTAATGGTTGGGGGGGGTTGTTTTTTGAGAACAGATTCAGTGCTGCACACGTTAGTTCAAACAGGAAAGAAATGGGTTCTGCTACCTATATATTTCTGGTTCCATTCCCTATAGGGTTTTTGGTGTTTCTGCTTACAAAGAGTTTTCACATGGTAAGATCATTTGTTGTTTTGAGGAGGTGCATAGAAAGCAGCTACTCTTTATGACATTTTGGTTATTCTATGGTAGAACTAGCTAAGGAAGGAACTCTCTCATTCCTCGCCACCCCCTCCCATTTCAAGTGAACCAAGTACTTCTAACATAGGTCTAGCACTTTTTGAAAGAGTGCTAGAACATCTTCAGAAAAAAACCTGACTTCCAGGACACCAGCAAAGAGGAAGGTCTGTGCTGAACAGAATCTTCAGGAAAACTCCTTTCCCTTCCCACTTCACTCTGTGGCTCTCCTCCATGACTGCAATCTGTCAGATAAGCTATTCTGAGAAACAGATTTAGC